TTTGTTTGTTTTTTAATCCAGAAGAAGTTTGAACTTAACTTCCATTAGATAATGTGACTGTAAAAGGTGATGGAAGACTTCGCGTCAATATATTGATGTTTGTTATGAATTTCGCGCTAGGCTACACGAGGGCTATCTGCGCTAGCCGTCCCTAATTTAGCAGTGAAAGACTAGAGGGAAGGCAGCTAGTCATCACCACCAAGCGCCAACTCTTGGGCTACTATTTTACCAACGAATAGTCACATTGTAACGCCACCACGGCTAAAAGGGCGAGCATATTTGGTATGACTGGGATTCGAACCCACCACCCACATATTGCGAGTCAAGTGCACTAACCACCTGGCCATGCCGGGCTGTTATATTTATGACATTATTGTAAGTATATTTACTCCAGTAAAGCATCCAGAAAAATCCATCCTTCATTCATTTTATTTCGATATTACTACAATCTTTCACCAACAAAGCTGTGAAAATAAATAAAGATTATTCTAGTTCAGAGATTAGATACATTAAAATCACAAAGGAAAAAAAACAATGCGTTTTATAAACAAAAATATATCTAAGTATTGATTTAATAATAAGATTCTACAGCACTAAAAACATATTCAAAACAACCTCATGCAAAATATATTATTAATGGCGTTTCTAAGTTTTTAGGGAATTGAAACAAAGGGTATGAATAATTGGCATCAAATCTTCAGTTTTTTTTTAATTAATTAAATTCCACGTAGTTTCTTGTGTGGGTTAAGCCTGTTTTCTTTGGAGGGACAAGCGCGAGTTATTCCTGAGCGAGCTTCGTCTAGTTCAGAAATGCTTATTTTCTAAAATGCTTTAGTGAACTTAGAAATAGAAGAATTTGGGACCCAGCATGGCCAAGTGGTTAGTGCGCTCGACTTGCAATCAGAGGGTCGCTGGTTCGAATCCCCGTCACACCAAACATGCTCGCCGTTTCAACCGTGGGGGTGTTATAAAGTGACGGCCAATCCCACTATTCGTTGGTAAAAGAGTAGCCCAAGAGTTAGCAGTAGGTGGTGATGACTAACTGTCTTCCCTCTAGTCTTTCACTGTTAAATTAGGGACGGCTAGCGCAAACCAAAGTATGGAAAATGGCTTATCGTGCACAACAACTTATTACTTATGATATTTTTATTTTAAAGTAGAAGCCATACGGCTTCAAAAAAGTTTTTATTGTGTAAATATAAAACGGTTTTTTTTCATTATTTATTATAATTTTAAAAATGTTCCTTGTTGTTTCGTCTCCAAGTTCAAAATGGTTTTTGGCTGTTTATTAAAGATACAAATGAAAGCTGACAGTGACTGGAATTTTGGTTTCACATTAGAAGATCTGGTGGCTAGGGTCTGGTAACTTGCGATCTGCGTGTTGAGGGGTTCAAATCCCATAACAGATCATGCTTGCCATTTAAGGCCGTGGGGACGTTACAATGTGATGATCAATCCCACAATCGATTAGAGTAGCCCAAAATAAGGCGGTTTGTGGTGTTAACTAGTTATTATATCACTTCTAAATTAGGGACGGCTAGCCCAAATAGCCCTCGATTAGCTCTGGGCGAATCTCAACAAACAAATTCATACAGCAAACAAATGTTATTTATAATTTAAACTATTTTTTTATTTTAGTTTGGCAAAGTACATTACTTCGGTCAGTGTTATCGAGTTCCCTAACTCAGTTTATTTTTAGTACTGTGATTCGTAGCCGTCCCTGTGAGAACAGATACACTTTGCCATATATATTCCACTAGTTTTGATTGTGACGTAAACCAGATTATTTTCCTATAGATCAATTTTGTGCTAGAATGTAGAAAAAGTTAAGCATAGAATGCGTTTAGCAAATACATTCTATACCTGAACTGGCTTCTATTTTTTTATATATTTTTTTTTATTTTATTTTTTTGTGGCTCTACCAGTGTCTCAGTGGTACGTCTGAAGGCTTATGACGCTAAAAAAACTTGGTTTTGGTACCCGGGTGGGCACAGCACAAATAACCCATTGTGGAACTTTGTGCTTAACAACAAACAAATAAAGCTTTCTTTGTGAAGGTAAGAGTGTTGGACTTTCGTGTTTCAATCTCCATCTCTGATTATTCTCTTGTCTTTCGATGGATTCACTTTAAGCCCCAGATCACCATGTTCTTTTATACTCTTAATTCAAAGTGAACTAACCCTACATTGATCAATAATCTATGAAGTGAGTGTATTCCTTAAAAAAAGCTCTTTTTCTACGTAAAGAATTAGAATGTCAGTCTTCACCTGTTAGTCTTAGAGTAGTAAACTGTTCATTATACTCACTTGTTTCTTTAAGTACAGAAGCTTAGATGATGAGGCTTCCTTTTTCTTATTCTTCTTGAACACCAAGATGGGATGAACAAAATGTTTCTATTGTAACAAGTCATGAGGTAGCGATCGATAATTTCTCGTATTCAGCTAAAGCTATGAGGCTCATACTTCTCACCATCGCTATTCCGACTCAAAACAAAATCATCAAGGAAAAGGTATAGCTTACTTGGAAGAAATTTATCGATAGGCCTAGTTTTTTTGTCTCAATTGTTTTCTAGAAACTTCTAAAAATGTCGTTCGGTTTCCTTACTGTTTCTTGTCTTTTAGTTGTTGTCCATTTAATAATACATTTCCTCGCCCACTGTCATGATATAAAAGACTGTTTAGTTTAGATATTAGTGATTGATATATTTTTGTGAGTGAATAGTTTATTATTGTTTAGATTTTGTTATAATAAGAGTTAAAAGCAGACGATTGTAGGAAGATTTGTTAAAAATTCATTGATGTTGAGACTATCGAATGTCATGCGCAATACATTGACGTCGATAATATAGAAGGAAGACAGACAATTAGGTGATAACGATAAAAACAGTGTGAGACTAACTGGAAGCAGCAGACAGATAATACAGAACGAAGTAAAGTTACAAAAGGAAAGGCTCGGCGTGAAGCTAACTACCGTAGAAGTGATAGGCCTGACGATTGATATAGGCCTAACGTTTATTATGTTAGAGTAACAGTAGAAACGGAGATAAGAAAAATAATTTATTCCGTCAAAGCGTGGTTATAAAGTAATTGAAATAGCCTGAGTGCACTTTGACAAAAGGAACAGAGGATATTCAGAAGAAAGAAGACCAAACGATTAGGGTAACTCGCGCCACAATTGTAAATGAATCACAGAAGTACTAGTGCGATAGATATAGAGAAGATAGTTCGGCTTGTCAACTGAATTTGTAAAGTAATTGAATAGGCCTAAGTGGTTATTTGACAAGAAGAAGAGAACTACATATATAGTATTTATGATATGTTCATAATATCTATAGTGTTGAAGAATTTATTGTACATATGTTAACTTGTTCTGAATATACATGTATATATTATTTTGAAAACAAGTGAAGTGCGTGTTATTTATCGTTGAATTTATCGCTAACAAGTCGCAGACACCTACCGTAGAAAAATCCTAAGCCGAAAAACAACTCGGTATATATTTTTACTATTAAGAAATATAAGTAAAAGCCTTTTATTCTGACAATTGGCAAAAATAATAATAATATTTTTTTTAATTCTGACAACCACGTGATAGCTTTACAAGTTTCCTTTTCTATAACATTTTATGAACCAATTACAATTTCATCATATGTATAATTGAGCTGACTTTCTACAAAGACAAGAGGACGCCACCTATAACTGGACAGTATAAAGATTCTCGCCATTATTATTCGTTTGTTTGTTTGTTGTAAAGCACAAAGCTACACAATAGACTACATGTGCTCTTTCCACCGCTGGTATTTAAACTCGATTTTTAGCGTTTTAGGCCCCCAGACTTACAGTTGAGCCACCGGTGACCATTATTATTCACCATTGTTACAGAGTTTTCTGTTAAAAGGGGTAAAACTTCTTTTAATGCATTATCAGTTCTAATTGCACTTAGTTGTAAAAGGAACATCAACAAATCCTCTTAATTAAGAGTAATTTATGTGGTTTGCAAGAAGATTCTAGAAAATTGTTATAATATCAATAAGAAAACTGTAATTGTAGCGTGTGAGCAGTGGATCTTAAGTACTTTCAGTAAATGTATAGTCGAATAACTGCGATAACACTATGTTCAGACAATAAATGTTATTTATTTTTAATAAACAAATAAACGTTTGTTTGATACTTTCTCTGAGTTTCTTTTATAAGTTTACATCAATATTCTTCTTAAACCGTCAACATACTTGATGAACTCCAATAGCAAAAAGAAATTCCAGTTTTAATTAAGAAATGATATTTAGTCCTGATATTAATATCTAAAGTGAATTGAAGAGGAAGAGTACCTGGTATTTTCAGCGAATTAAAGAGGATGAATACCTGGTATTCTCAGTCCAAACGGCTATATCTGAGACCACCAGGTTCAAGAAAAGCAGTTGTTCATGTTTAACTTGCTAACCAGAGAAGGACAACCAGCAATACCAACAAAGCTGCTCTTACCCGAATATCGTGGGCTCAAGACTTGGACTTCCCAATTTGCAGTTCAGCACGCTGAGCCAAGCGTATCCTAGTAGTTATGCATATATTAATGAATAAAACAAGCCCAAACAAACAACGAAATTGAAAACGCTAAATAAAAGGGGTATTTTAATGAACAAAACAGTATGTTTGGAAAATCAATATTTAAACAATTAAGCAAATATTAAAATCAAAAGGAAGGATTGCGTTTGTTTGTTTTTAATTATGTACAAAGCTACACAAGGGCTATCTGTGCTCTGCCCACCACGGGTATCGAAACCCGGTTTCTAGCGTTGTAAGTCCGCAGACATAACGCTGTGCCACTGGGGGGCAGGATTGCGTTAAAAACAGCAAATACAAACCTGTGATAAACGATATACTCGTATATATGTATTACAAGTTTTCTAAAGGTTAATGGTGTTAATTTTTTTTTCTTTAAGTTCCCAAATTGTTTTTCCTGTGTTGGTTTTACTTTATATTATTTTTCATTCTTTCTTCCAGCTCCACCCAAAATCACTCCATTTGATCTACCAGCACGTGTTAAAGAAGGCTCTACAATAGTCCTCACCTGCTCCGTCATTCAAGGCGACCAGCCTTTTGTTATGAAGTGGCTGAAAAATAACCGCCGTCTGCCGGTCGATCTCGGAGTTACAGTACAGAAACACGAGAGGTTTACGATTTTAGCCTTGAATAATGTTAAACCTGAACATGGCGGGAACTACACTTGTGTCGTGTCCAATTATGGAGGGACAGCTGGTCACAGCGCTATTTTACGTGTTGATAGTAAGTCTTAAAACCTGTTTACAAAAGGGACTTTCGGTATTAATTATAATATTACTTGCACCACTTGCAAGATGGCTTCAGGATCAGGTTTTAAAACATTTAGAGCTATCTGTATAAAATTAAGTGTCACTTCAGAAGTTAGAGTAAGTGGAGTTTTATCGAAAACAAATTACTTCTGAGCATTAATAAGTTCAATAGCAAAATAAACTCATTGACTCTAGATTTATTATTGTAATAATAATAATCCCTGTAGACTCCCATTGGAGCATAGGGCCCCAACAACACCTCTCCGACGGAAGTTCTTGTTGCAGTAATATTTTAGCAAGTTGGTTTTTACGGGGCGGGGTTGCTAGCCCCGCGCCCAACCCTCCCCCTTTCTCATCCTGGACTTGGGACTAGTCAATGGCATCCCTGCCAGGGAACGAACCCGATACCTTTGGATTAGAAATCCAACGCGCTATCCACTGTGCTATAGGGACACTAATTTTTTTTATAAGGTGTATAAAAAATGGGTGTTAACTATAGCCTAAAATGATCCATGTTAGAATTGGTTGTGTATTTTAATAAATGCATTGATGATATGTATTTATTAAAGTAAAAATATACTTACACACTGAAGTAACACGTTCAAATATAAGGTTTTATATTAACCCACAAACTTTTCAGCTTTCTTAAAGATCTATTCTTTAGGTGCAATGACTGGTTAAATTGGGATTTTAAAAGAGTTGACCTTTTGTGACCCTGCAGCATCGTAGATCACAGCGTAATCCAATCAGAAAACCAGGAACGCTACTGTCTTGAATCATCAAGAGGCAGAACGTCGTTTCGGACCTTACCCCTGGCCTGGTTGGAATTACATCAAATGCCAGTGTTGTAATTCCAGTTAAAAAAACAAGAGTTGAAAAATTTGTGGGTTAAGAAAACCTTATATTTTAACGTGGTATTTCAGCTTATAAATCGATTTGTGTCTTTACTAAGCTACGTTCTACATATACAATGTCACGTTATATCTATACCAAGTCATGTTATGTCTCTATCAAGTAGTGTTATATCTGTCACGACAACTTATACCTACACATAGTCATGTTATACTTATACCAAGTCACGTTATGCTTATAAAAGGTCACGTTATATCTATATCAAATCACGTTCTAGGTATACCAAGATATGTTATATTTATATCAAGTAATGTTATATCTATACCAAGTCACATCATACCTATACCGAGTCATGTTATATTTGTCTCAAGTCATAATTCCCAAGAGAAAGGACATTAAAGCTGCAAACCTATGTCTTAATCAGAAATGTTGTTCTTTATTAGTTAATTCTGAGTTATGTGTTAATCGATGACATATCATGGTGATAGAGGGGGTTAGGTTTTAGGACAGGAGATTGATCATCATCATATTATTACATACCTTATTGTGACTCAGAAAAATAAGAACACTTACGTCATCATACCTCATTTTAGCCACTATGAATTACAGGGATACTTACATCACAATTTATTTAATTATGACGATTTATAATGGAAAGGCACAATATTATTACGTGTTCCTCCTGCATCATACGATACCCGTTTCAAACAAAACCCAGCTCTAATAATCTGCTCAGAACCAGAGTGAATCTATAGTACTGTTATTATTGTGTATACTACATCTATCAGTCTCATTCCTAATCAGCATCACGTAATCTACTCAAGATAAGAATGGGCCTACAGTATTGTTATTTACTGTGTACACTACATCTATCAGTCTCAATCCTGATCAGCATCACGTAATCTACTCAAGATAAGAATGGGCCTACAGTATTTTTATTTATTGTATATACTACATCTATCAGTCTCAGTCAGCTGCATCGTGTGTATACTGCTTTTGTGGTGTTGGAAGGAGCATGGGGGTTGCCTAGTAACAGCAGAAGCCTGGACACCATAATCCTGTTTTAATATTATTTCTGGGTACACTACTTCACCTGAATGACCCAATAAATGCCAGTTGGAGACATATGGCCATAAACTATGGTTTCTTGTTCAGTTCTTAGTTCTCTGAAATGCGTTTGATTTACACAAAACATAAACATTTTCTGTGCTCCTCCTCCTTTGTGTTGGTCAATGTTGACCAGAATGAATTTCGAAATTCGTAAGCAATTCGTACTTAATCTCCGATGTAAGAACTTTACCAGTTAATATTCTACTGTAAGTGAGACCACGAGTGAAACAATGCACGTGAATACGTTGAGAGAAGACTCGTTGCTTTTCACCACACAAGTTTCCATCTCTAGCTTTTCGGAAGCCACGAAGTTGAAACTTGCCACAAACTATCGTCTCCACGTGCACGACATTATCTGTGAGTGTAATTTTCCGTGTCCCAAAAATATCATTATAAACAAGATCATGTCGTTTCTGATATATCCGCCATGTTAAAATGTCTATACACTTTCAGGAGACGTGCTCAAAATCGATACAACACTGAAGTCTTTCGATCCAGATCACCCTCCTCGTGCTCACTATTATTTTTAAAAAAGCTACAAAAGAAAAAACAATGTTGATATCCTCAAAGTTACAATGGCCAGCGACTTTTGGGTCACCATGTATTAATTAGTGATGACTTTTTTTTTTCCAGCACAGTCTTCAATTAGTAAATAAACGATATTTGTTTATTTATAAAAAATAAGGGTTTCGTGAAAATAATAAAAGTCGAGTTTAATAAATGCTTCGTATTTCCGGGTGAATTTAAACTAATATCATTGTTTGTTTATATTTTAAACAGCGCCACCGCGGTGGAAGGTGGAACCAGTAAACACATCAGTTGTTCTAGGAGCCATGGTTACCATTGACTGTTCAGCAGAAGGCTCACCACAACCAATTGTCACATGGAAGAAAGCTTCAGGTATTCACCACTTTCAGTCAAATACCGAAACAATGCAAGTGCTACTGGAAATATCATTTAATTATACCTAGTATTAAAGATTATTATTAGTTAGTATAACAATGCAACAAGTATAACTGACAATTATTAGGTAGTATAACCATGCAACAAGTATAACTGACAACTATTAGGTAGTATAACCATGCAACAAGTATAAATGACAACTATTAGGTAGTATAACCATGCAACAAGTATAAATGATAACTATTAGTTAGTATAACCATGCAACAAGTATAAATGATAACTATTATTCAGTATAACCATGCAACAAGTATAAATGACAACCATTAGGTAGAATAACCATGTAACAAGTATAAATGACAACCATTAGGTAGTATAACCATGCAACAAGTATAAATGACAACCATTAGGTAGTATAACCATGCAACAAGTATAAATGAC